CTGATTCCTCAGGAGAGGAGTATCAGGCCCAGGGGTAGGCTTTGGCAGGGAAAACTGCTCTGCAAGGTGTGACCTTAAGTCCAATTAAACATTATGGGGCATCCTTTTGAAAGAGTATGCCCAAGCAGAGTGAGAAGACTGAGTTGCTTAAAGATATAGTGAAACGTTTGCAAATGGGGGTTTACACACTGGTTACAGAAGGCATTTATGAAAATTGAAGCAAAGAACCTGTCCAGATCCATAAATCACTTTTGCATATTTCTTCTGCTTCATCTTCATTAATGGTTTCTTTCTTCCCATTCTCCTTCCTCTTCCTTGTCTGTGTCTCCTTTCAGGGGACCACATAACATCACTGAGATTATGGTTTAAAGATTACTTCCTCTGTGAATGCCTCCCCTGGTCATCACCTGTACTGCCCACTCTTCCTGCAGGTCCCTGGCAGCTGGACAGCTTTCCATTCCAAGTCCCAGTTCCCACCAAACTTTGAGTTTAGCTCTACTTACTCTTCTGCTATAATTAGTTTCTAATCTTTTAAAAATTTTCCAGTTCTAAGAACCTGAGTGAGGTGATTGAGTACATTCTAAATGCTCATCAAGTGTTTAGGCTATAAAAGAATTGATGAGTGATGGAAGGATGCAGCATGGTAAATCTTGTTGCTCTTCAATCAGATTATGTCTCTATGTCTCATACTTTCATGTTTCTACTCTGAACACAAACTTCTAAAACTGGAGTTCCACCATCCTTTTACCTAATTTTGTAAATAGCAGCAGGAAATTACAGTGCGATAATATATTTGTTTTTTAGACTATTAACATCTTTCCATAGCCTTTTAACATAGGACAAACCCTAGCATGATACAGAGACCATCCACCTGGGTGCATGTTGAAGCCCTCCCAGACTGTTTGGAAGGTTAGGTCATTTGTCTGACATACGAGAGGAAGAGTTGATAATCATGGTGAAAGAGGTGATTAGTATAATAGGGCCATTCAATTGGCAATGGAAGGAAGAACTGTTCCATGTTCCCCCAGAGCACTCAGGGTGCCATGAAGTGGGAGACAGGTAGAGATACTAAAAGAAATAGAACATATTCTACCTTATTTTATAGTGCCTTTGGGTTTGGATTTCTGTAGAATCTGTACCTGGGGAGAACTTTGAGTATATGTGCCACACTCAGATGTCTGCTTTCTTGGAGCAAAGTAACACTAAGCGTGGGAAGAGATGGCACAAGTGCTGAGAGGGGAAGCAGAGAGGTAAAAATACTAAGAGGAGGACATTGGGAAACTGGCTACTCAATGACAATTTGCAAGTCAGAAAATATTGAGGGGAGGGAGTTTGAGAAGAAGCTAATGATTTTTTTGAAAGATTTTTTTTTACAATAAAACATTTGATCAGAGATTTCATCTTTTATTGAAAAAACAAACCATCACACATTACGTTCCTCTTCCTGTGAATATCAAATAGACGAACTTGTTTCCCCTATTCTGTCTTTTTCCCTCCTTTCACAGTGGACATCCCATCCTCACTTCTACTCAAGTGAAAATAAATAGTTATCTTCGATTCCACTTGTTCTTTCATCACATCAGCTGATGGAAGAACAGATTCAAACACCCCTGAATCTGTCCCCCACATGCCCCTTTTCCAAGGTCATTACCTTCTCCAGATCAACCCTGTTCTCATGACTGGCAGAAATGCAGCTAATCCTTGAGCATCCCTAAGCCTTCCCTGGCCACTGTATCTAATACAGAGTGCTCCAGGATTCTCTGCCTTACTGTTGCCTTAGGGTCTTTCAAAGCTTGCAATTATTTAATTTACATGTTTCATTTTTCTTTTACCTGCTCTTGGATCATCCACTAAAATGTAAGCTCCCTGTGGGCACATGCCATATGGAACTATTTTGCTCCCTGTGTTATCTCCAGAGATCGCTGCTCTACCTTGAACATAATAGGCTTTTGTTTAGTTGAGTAAATTCCAGCAATTCAGGTGAATTTAGAAATAAAATGCAAAAGTGATGTAATTATAAAGAAATTCAGGACATATAACATATTCCTGACAAGACCTAATTTATTGAACGGATACAACTCATTTATAGCTGGCAGCATCTATTTGTACCCATCTGCATCCCAGTAATTAAAGCCAAGTTCTTAGAAGCAGCTTGCTCCCTTAAGAAGGCAGAATCTGTGTTTAAATTTAATAGACGTGGACTGGATAATAGGAGGACTTGACAGTATTTTTTTAATACTTCTCTAGTTTTCTCATATGTAAAAGTCTTTGCAAACCAACTATAGGATCCTCAATAGAGAGGATTTTGCCCTATATTTTCTCTTTATTAAAATTCTAAAAGCTGAAAGCTTTTCTTTCAGCTAATTCTAAACAAAGAGCATGCCCTTCACATATGAGATAAAGGTTTTATGAGTGTGTATGGGCTTGTGTGTGTTTGTGTGTGACACCCCACCATTGTTCCAGTCATGCCTATGAATAATGTGTTAGAATCTCACATCTGTTAATCCAGGCAAAGACTCCACTTCTTCTGTGCCTCCCTGGTGTTCCCTGTTGCTATTCAGAATATAGCTGAAAAGAAAATGTGGTTTAATTTCACATAAATAGACTAAAGCATTAATTCCATGAGAGCAGCAGACAATGTCTGTTTGGTTCATTGTTGATTTACCTGTCAGCACAGGGCACAATGTTTGGTGCATTGTAGGTGCTCTGTGATAACTAGGTTTGCACAATTTCCATGAGATATTGCCTCTTCTTTCAGGTCCGGTCCCACTGGGACTCGCAGGAGGTGTTTGCAAAACAAGCACCTGTTGGTTTTTCTGGACAGCTTAGGATCTGTAATTAGTATTTTTCTAGGAGTTCTGTTCCTTCAGGTAAGCTCTTTCTGGGAAATAACGACTTCTGTCAGTTTGAGGGTCTCCATGCTTTATCAGTAGGCAGTTCTCCAGAATAGCCCAAACAAACAAGGGTCCCAAGGACCTCAAAGGAGCATTTGGTAACTCTCCAGCTCACAGGAGCATCTCACAGGTCTGAGGTCTTCAGTGTCCTCAAGGAAGGAAACTTCCCATCTGGACTTCTTCTGGCACTTACAGAGTTAACACTTTAAGCATTTATCCCTGTACCTTTTCTGCTCTCAGATAACTCAGAAATGGTTGGATTAAGAATGTCAGGCTTGGCCTTTAGGTAATCCTCAGTGCAGAAGGCAGCAGAGTTAAATTTGAAGGGAAAATGGTTAAAAGATAAAGAGGTTCTGAAGCAGGATGAGGAGCTGGCATTCCTCCTTGCAGGGGAACATGCACACATTTTCAAAATCCTTTTCAATTAGGTGGCTTGGTATTTTCTGCACATTTGTCATGGCCCCTCTGGTGTGGGCTGCAGGATGAGGAATGCACAGGGAAACCTGGAAGATTCTCCCCATTTGGAATCTTGCAGCTGGGGAAACATTCCATATTTTCCGCTCTGGCTCTTTGTCCAGCTCAGATTGTTGTTCCCGCCACTTACAGACTGTGGGATCATGGACAAATCACTTAACCTCTTGGAATTCATTTCTCCCTTCGAAGTGGAGCTGCTAATAGTATCTATCTTACAGAGCTGTTACCACCAGTTTACATGGAGTGATACTTCCACGGAGTGATACTTCCTGCAGGGGTTGGTGCATAGCAACTGCTTGGTGAAGGCTATGCACACTGTCATCATCATCATCAGTCTTAACAGTCCTCATGCCTTTCCTCTTCTTCTCCCAGCACTACAGTGTGGCAAATCAGCACCATAAGATGGGTACTTACTGCCATTGCTCCTTGCTCCCCACCTTGGGCAGACTCTTGCCAGCTACTCCCTAGATGAGCACTTGCTGGAGGCTAGCCCTTGGCTTCCAGACCAGCCCACCCCAAACTCCTCATGTTCACACTTTCACTTCCTTCCTCACTTTGACTTCTACTACTTTAGTAAAGGAGAATCCTTACTGTGTGGCCAGTGTGGACACCCTGCTGTCCACTTAACACCATCCTTGTGTGCTTGCCTAGCCACTTCACTTGTCCTCCCTCAGATTTTGGGTCCTTCTTTAATGGCATTTTCTGCATGAAGTTGACTCTTCTAGTTCACATGTTCAACTCTGAATTTCTCTAACCCCATATATAGCCCATTTCTTTGTCAGGGATTCAGTTATCAGACACCACCTTATTCATGGTTAATATAGAATGTGTGTGACTGTGTGGAAGTTATTTAACCCTCTGGGATTTGATGTACCATATACAAAGTGGAACTAATTACATATACTTTGATATGAATGAACTAATATAAGAAAAATCATATAGCACAAGGGCCAGATTCATTTAGGGATTTAATAAACCGTGGTTTGATGGTCCCATGTTTATGTATGTCCTCAAGAGCAAGGTTTTTAGCCAGACTTGCTATGTGCCCTTACTTGATGGTGGATATCTATCTGTGGAACAAAATGGCAAGGATAAGCCATTCTTCTACTGACAAACCTTATTCCTGTCTCAAATAGAGTTCTTACTGCTATTCTGCTGTTTTCTCCGTATGTATGTGAGTGCATGTGTATGTGTTTGTGTGTGTGTGTGTGCATGTGTGTGCGTGGGATTGTTTGGCAGTTCATCTAATAGACTTATCCCTATATGTAAAATAATTAGAACTCTCTATGGATATTAAAGTTGACTTCTAATGTCACAATGACAGAAATTCTATCATTAGAGATACTCTCATGTGGGTTAACATTGGACTCACCCAGCACTCTTTTTTAAATACCAAAACCTTGAATAGAGGTCACTTATGTCTTAATGTGAATTCAGTTTTCAGTTACCTTTTCCTTCCTGTAAAGAGACAGTAGGCTTGGTACAGAGTAGGTTTTTCTATGTGGGGAAATGACAGGCTGGGTACTGCAGACAAACTTCCCCTAGGGCCTCTTGAGTACAAATTCCTCATTGCAAAAGCATTGTCCTTGTCCAAAGGTATCGTGCTATCACTATAAATTTGCCAGAGCAGCTCATGCCCCCACCCTCAACCCTCAGAGCTGTGGGAAGGGAGGCTGGGTGTGGGCCTTTCACATTTATTCTTATGACCCCAGTACTTCCATTAAACCTTGGCCTTCCCGCCACTGCTGGGAGATACAGGTCACTTCTCTAGAACTAAAACAGCATAATTATTTGCATGCAACTGTCTTTATCCTCAATGGGACAATGTAAAGATCCAAAGCCACAAGGCCTACCATCTGCTCCAAATGCAGCACAGAGATCTCTGTAAGGAAAAGAATATTCACAAGGAAGGAAAACAGAGGTGAGTATCCAAATCTCAGTCTGTGTGAGCATTTGCAGGTCATTGCTAGCCCAATGTTGCTGTGCCATTGCAGCTATAAATTGTTATTGTTTGTTTTCCGGGTACTTTAGGGGGTAAGTACTGGGGATTGAACCCAGGGATGCTTTACCACCAAGCTATATCTGCAGGTCTTTTTGTTTTTTATTTTGAGACAGGGTCTTGCTAAGTTGCTTAGGGTCTCACTAAGTTGCTGAGGCTGGCCTTGAAAATGTGATCTTCCTGCCTCAGCCTTTCAAGTTACTGGGATTGCAGATATGCATCCCTGTGCCCAGATCTCTATAAAGGCTTTTAAACTGCAGTTCTCCCACCACCGTTATGTGTGTTGTTTTTCATTGTAAGGGTGATTTGAAGGGCCTCAGTGAATGGTTCTGTAGAAAGTTCCTTGTTGTAGTTTCCTATTGTTGCAAAACAAATCACCCTAAACTTATCAGTTTAAAGTAGCACAATGTCTTATATCCCAGTTCCAAGGTTTTAGTTGTCTGGGTCCCAGTCCACTGGGTCCTCCTCTCAGGGTTTCACAAGGCTGAAATCAAGGTATCAGTGGGGCTGCCTTGTCATTTGAGGCTCAGGCCCTCTTCCCAGCCCATTGGTTGCTAGAACTTACTTCCTTGCAGCCATAGGTCTGAGGTTCTCACTTTTAAAGGTCACCCACTATTCCATGCCACTTGGCCCTCTCCATGACAGAGCAGTTTGCTCCTTCATAGCTAATAGTAGAATATCTGCAGCTGCTTCTTCTCCCAGGGAAAGGGCTAAGCCTTTATCTAAGGTCTGCCTGTTAACTGAGGCAGATTCTCCCAGGAGAATCTCCCTTCCAACTGATTATACCATAATCTGATTGGAGATTTTACTTACACCCACAAACCCTCTCACTTTTGTCATATATTCTAGCACACTCAGAACAGACTGTCCCATCAATCTCAGACTCTGCTACCCCCAAGGGAAGAGGATTACACAGGGACCTCAGAATTTATGTAGTCTACCTATCCCATCCTCCATTCTTGATTTGTCTGATTGACTTCATCTATTTCCTTAGGATCAATTCAAATTAAACATTTTTGATAAGGCTGCTAATGAGGTGTTTCAAGCATCTTTCCTTGTTTCCAACATTTCTTGTTTTCCTCCACCCACTTCTATTCACAAACATGTTCTACTCATTCTTTCAGAACCCCCAGGGTCCCATTCCACTCCCCCTAAGAACAATACAAGAGAGGGAGTTTCCCATGGAAGCTGCTTCTCATTTATTCAGTGGTTCAAATCCCTTCCCAGTATTCACTGAATTGAATGGATGCCTCCTAAAGTGATTCTCCATTTGGGTTACTATAAAAAGATACCTCACATCTGATAATTTGCAAACAACAAAAATGTATTGCTTATAGTGCAGGGGCTGCAGAGCCCAAGAGCTTAGCACCAGCAGATTTAGTGACTATTGCAGTCTGCTCTCTGCTTCTAGGATGGAACCATCTTACTGTGCTCTCAGATGATGGAAGAAGTAGACATGAGGGTGGAGCCCTTGTGACTTAATCACTTCTCAAAAGAGCCCCTGTAATACTATCCCATTGGGTGTTATGCTCCAAAGTGTGAATTTGGGGGATTCCAGTATTTAAATCATAGCCACACAATAAGAGGAAGTATCAGGAACTGGTTGAGAACATAGAACCCAGAATAGGACTTCTGAATTTGATTTCTGACTTAGACACTTACCCATAAGTGATTAAACCCTTCATATTCCCATGTGTGAAATGTAGATATTAGTATTTCCACATCAAATCTACCTTCAGCATGTTTAGGGCCTAGAAGTACTGAAAAGAGTAAAAATGGCAGCCTCTGTGTTACCGTAAAAGTTAAGCAAACAAAGCATTAAGGGGGGAAAATGTTCTACTTTCTCACCATGACAAATGTGGTTTTATAATGACCTGGAAGCACAAGGCTTTAGAATTCTTGGACTCCATGGAGTTATCTCCAAATGGGGTGGTTCATGGGAAGCATGTTCCAGACTTTGATTCATGGCTCACTCTCCTCCCTTTTTTTCCCACACATGGCTCTGTCCTTGCTTGCATGCTCACAGCTAAGACCACATGAAACTCTGTGTCCACAGCCAAAGGGTGGCCACCTGTGGCCTGGAGATCTAAGATCATGCCACACACATGCCATCTGGACAGACCTGGCAAGAGGCCCACTTAGCATCTTGATTTTGCTTAGAGATGTTGAGAAAGGGACCTCCAGGATCCCAGGTGACTGCTGGTGTGTCTTCACCTCGTGAACAAGCTTCTTACTGTCTAGTTGGGAGCAACACGAGTAAAGAGGGCCAGAATAGTCCCACTCAAACAGAGTCCAAATAGAGGCCTCTGTTGTCTAAGGACAACTGACCCATTTCACAAGGTGGCAGTGAGAAATAATTCAGAAACTATGTGTTGAGTACATAAACCAGGGTTTGGTACATGACAAGATTTTAATACAGGTTAATTCTTTTATTTTCTGATCTCCTATGAATTGAGAGATGGAGACAGGGATGGGAATATTCTCAGTTTCATCAGCCTCTGGCACTGAATCCTTCTTTTGCACTCCTGCGTTTCTAGCATCCTCTCAAACCTGAAAGCAAACAGAGAAGGAAATCTACAGGCAAGTTGTTGTTTCAAATCATCTTCTGCAGGCAGGGATGACGTGTTCTAAACCATGCAAGTCAAATTAAAATCCCTACATATTCCCTTACTTCAAATAGAGCCTGCTTGATCAAACCACTGATCACAGATAGGGACAAAACACACATCTCACTGTGTTTGACATCCAGATTCCTTCTTCATTTGGCCTGCATTTATTCTGTCTCTCTGAATCCCTCATTCTGTTTGTGAGTTACCGTTAATTACAGAATAAATCAAGAGTACATGCTAATCTGAGGGATCTTGTCTTTGAAATGCGTCTTTCTGCCTTCCCAGTTTGTGGAGAGCTGAGTTGGGAAGGCAAACGCATCCTCGGCTGGCAGACTTTGTCTTCCTTAGAATTTAGGTGTGATCTATATTCAAATGACAGTTTAATGAGCCTTTTCCTATTTCCAGAAACCTTATCACATCATTAAAGTGTAGAAATGAATAATACATCTAGCAGTTGGATTAAGCTGAACTTGAGACCTGATGCATCTTCAAAGGGGGGAAAATGGAGCAGGGGCAAAATCGAGGAATGCTGAGCTAAAGAGAAGGGGTTAAATGAGGAGGGCAGGAGGGGCTATTTTTATTCCTATGTATCAACATAGGTAAATGTCACCAGTATTTTCCAAAATCTTAAAGTGGTATTCCTATTTCTCTGGGCTCAGGCTGGAAGAGAATTTTGGAAAATCATCTGCTGCCAGGCATCAGGCTGAGAATAAAGAGTTTGCCTGACATGACTTCATCAGGAGAAGGCCCCAAGCTGCCCACCTCAGTGCCCCCACCAATTCCAACTGCTTTCTCAGGGTAGAGGAGTCTCACTGACTAGTGCCTGGGACCTAGTGTCAGAATCTCTGATCTGTTTCTATCTCCTAGGAGCTGTGTCCTTGGGTTAAGTAGCTAGGCCACTTTGAGTCTCTGTTTTTCCATCTATAAAATGAAGATGATAAGTGTTCTGGCCTTGCTGGATTGTGGGCAAGATCCAAGGAGTAATCCTGACTGAGTCCTTAGCAAATGCTTGGCACACGGTACAAACAATGCCTGTTGCCTATTATTTGGCATCCCTTGGTATCTACGAGTGCTGTTTCTTCTGCTGGGAATGAAATTCCTCCTTCCTTGCCTTCACCTACAGTCACTCTCTAGGCTCAATTCCCCAGGCCTTCCTCCTTCTAAGAACTCCTGCTCATCCTTCAAAACCCAGCTAAAATGTTCTCCACCATCATCTTCCCTGACACCCCAGCACTTTGATCAAGTGTTTCCTTCTCCCAATCTCCCTATTTCCCTTGACATGTGTCATTAATCAAATTAACAACTTGCTGAGACTTTGTGGGTTAATAAACATTTTTATTAAATTCAGAATGAGTTCAGATTCAATTTTCTCTTCTTTTTTACATTTAAGAATACAGTGATGAGAACACATTTGTAGGTGGCTTCAGGAGTCTGTTCAATGCAGACAGAAGCACATGTTCATAACACAGAGCTACCCATTGCCCCACAATGAAAGTCTTTGGTAGGTGTAGCCAGGACTGCAGACATTCCAACATCTACCAGGCCACATGTAGAACATGGGTATGAGAATGGCAGGTTGAGTCTATTTCACTGTCTCACTGCCCCCAGACAACTTAGGGGCACTCAACCACTGAGCCACATCTCCAGCCATCTTTTGTATTTTATTTAAAGACAGGGTCTCATGGAGTTTCCTAGTGCCTCACTGTTGCTGAGATTGGCTTTGAACTCAGGATCCTCCTGCCCCAGGCTCTAGAGCTGCTGGGATTACAGGCGTGTGCCACTGTGCCCAGCCAAAGTATTCTTTACTAAAAGGTACCAATCAATCTTCCATCCCTTCTACACAGCACATGGGAGAGATGCCAAGATCTGTGTGCTCCACTAAGTGACGTTCCTCCCATCTTCCCATCTTCTCATTCTGAATCCTCTCATGACAATCATGGGATCACCCCCCTCAAGGTCTAATTTCCTCTTCTAACAGGTTTTCATCCGTCTTCTGGAAGGATGAATATAATAATGCCATTCTCTGACATTTTTTTCTTGTGGTGCTGAGGACGGAACCCAGGGCCTCATGCATCCTACCCCACCAGCCCCATTCTCTTACTTTTAAAAATGTCTCTTTCTTCCTAACAAAAAGAGACCACGATTATAGGCTGCAAGTTAGGAAACACTGTCCACTCTGATCGCAGCTTTCTTTCAACTTTGCCTCCTACTACTTTCCTTTGTGAATATTATGTTGAAGCTAAATCTCTGTGCCATTGTATCCCTGCAGCCCGTGACTTTTTAAATGCATTAATCAGATCATGCCTCTCCTGTGTTTAAAACCGTCCAATGTCTTGTATAACCACATTGCAAAACTGATTGGCAGTTCTACTAAACAGACCATGCGTATTCTCAGTGCCTTTGCAGTTTCTCTCCTGGATGTGTTTCCCACATAAATTCATGAACAAGCTGGCCTTTTAAAAATGTGCAAAGATATTCAGAGCAGCATTGTTTGTAATAACACCAAACTCAAAACTACATAAATGGCCCTAACACTATGATGGATAAACTATGTATTTTTCACCCAAGGAAATACTATATAGCAATGATAATAAATTTTAGAGCTACATGCAAAAATAAAATGAATCTCACAATATAATTTTGAGGAAAAAAAGGTCAAACATGAAATAGTACAAGTTATAGTCTTCTATTTGTGTGAAGTTCAAAAGCAGGTGAAATAGAACTCATTAGCCTCCAGGAGAGTGGTGATTAGGAGCCTGTAATGGATTAAATTGTGCCCCCCACCCCCTGCCACATCATAGGTACTTTTTAAAGGTGAGCTATTTGGAAATAAGGTTTTTTTGAAAATGATGTAAATAAGTTAAGCGTTGCTATAATTTGGATCTTAAGTGTCTACAGAGGCCCTGTGTAAAAGGCATGGTAGCCAGCCTGTGGCACTACCGGGAGGTGGTAAAACGTTTAGAAGGTAGTGCCTAATAGAAGGAAGTGAAGTCACTGGGGTCATGCCCTGGAAGAGGATATTAAAACTTCAGCCACTTTGTGTCCCTTTTTCTTTCACTTCCTGGCTTCTGTGGGATGAGCAGCCTCCTCTACCATGTGCTTCTGTCAGGATATGCAGCCTTTCCACAGGCCCAAAAGCAATGAGTCAAACAAAGCAAGGACTAAAAATTTCAAAACTGTGAGCCAAAGCCTATCCTGCTTCTCAATTGATTATCTCAGGTGTTTGTCAAAGCAACGGGAAGCTGATGAACACATGGCTCTCAAGATGATATCGTCTTAGATTTCAGGTGGGCCCAAATGCTGACTTCTCTTCTTATAAAACAAAGGATAGAGAGATTTTGAGACTCACAGAGGAAAGGACCATGTGAAGATGGAGGCAGAAATTGGAGCAATGTATTGATAAGCTAAGTTGCCAAAATCTACCAAAAACTAAGAGGGAGGCACGGAAGTGTCCCTCAAACTCGGCAGAAGGAGTTTACCCTACTAATGTGTTGATTTCAGACATTTTGCCTTCAAAACTATAAAGTGAGTAAATTTCTGTTGTTTTAAGTGCACAGTTCTTCTTAATTTGTTATAGCAGCTATTGGAAACTAATACAGGTGTGTACGAGGCTACCAAGATGCAGATAAAATTCTAGATTTCTATTGTTGTTGTAATTGTTGTTCTATGTGAGTGAGTACGCTAAGCTTATAAAAACTATTGTGCTACACAATCTTCTATGTCTGTGTGTTTATTTAACTTCAAAAAGTAAAAATATATGATTACCCTTTACCACACTTTGAAAGAAGCTCGGTTATCATGGTATAGCAGTCAGGATAATATAGGTTATTGTGAGTAACAAATGATCCCCCAAAATTTCCAAAGCAATAATAGTCTATACTTCACCCATGAAACATGTCTTAAAGGATCAGCTGTGGCTCTGCTTCACATCATCTTTGTGAACTAGATCAAACTTTAATTCCTATATGAAGTCTTTCCAAAATTCTCTAGGCAGATAAGTGATACAACAGAAGTGTCTTTCTCCAATTATATTATTTTTATTTTGGCTACTTGCTTGCACATTTATTTCTGGTACTAGGTGTGAATGCACAGATTGTAAGACTATCATCTATATGGAGCATAGCTTAATGATTGGAAGCACATATTTTATACCAAACTTGATGTCAGACAGATTTTGGTTTAAAATCCATTTCTAGTGACCTTGGGTAACTTAATTAATGCCACTTATTCTCAATTTTCTCTTTGTAAAATAAAAATAGAAGTATTACTAATTTTGGAGTATAGTGAGTATTAGAGACTATAACAAATATGAAAAGTTTAAAAATAATCTAAAGCATCTATAAGGTACTCAATAAATATTACCTATTTAACATTATTGCATACCTACTGTATGCCAGGCTCTGATCTCAGGTTCTAGAGTTAGCAGTGAACAAGACAAATTCAAGATCCTTAGTGGGCTTGACATTGAAACTAGCTGGTATTTGTATACCCAGTAGCTAGCACAATGCTCAATATACAGTAGGCCCATAATAAATGCTGTGGAACATTGGTACCCATTCTCAGTGGTACCCTGAAGTATCATGCTTATTCCTATTCTACTCTTAACTTCTTGTCTTTATCAGATTTTTCTTATCACTTTTCTCCATTGATTCTTGTTCTTATTTTCCCATGAGTCATTCCCTTAAAAAAATTAGGTTTTTTGGGTGAGTGTTTGAACCTCATTACGTTAGTATTGCATACATAATAATCCATGCTAACAGATGCCCTATTTATGAGGAAATGTAAAGCCATGATGTGGGGAAATTATTCATCTCATGTTTTTGTTGAAGAAGCAAAACACACAGTAAATTAAGTCTGGTCTTCTTGAAATTCTGCATTTAAAGAAATTGTGATAGGAGCTGGGGAGCACACTTTGTACAATGTGGCATTAATTATTCAGTCATTCTGAATAGGCTTCAATTGCATTACATGGGAAAACGGAAGAGCCCTCCAGTGGCCGAATAATCCCTCTCAAATCCCAAGGGTTATTTGCTGCAGACAGCATCTCCAACTGAATGAAATGTCTGCTTCATCTTCTGTGGGGAAAGAAAGAGGGCAAGACCTATTAAAGTCTCGTTTTCTCATTTTAAAAAGGAATTTTGTCTGATTTTACACAGACAAGTTTTGAAGCATATTATTTAATGTGTTAAAGGAGAGATCATCCCTCTTTTACAAAAGCTAAGCATTGCAATTTGACACATTTTTTAATTGAGCATCTATGGTAGGTCCTACTCTATAATGGGTTTTGTGAAAGGGGATAGCGTTTGGGGGAGGAAGAGAGGAGAAAACATAGTTTCTATCTTCCAGGGACTTGCAGACTGCTGAGAAGACAAGATTAATTCATTTGGACAATACAGTGATCATTTATAGTGCTAACCTTGCTCTTTCTTATGAGAAACGATGTTTGATTTTCTCTTCAGAGTAAGGGAAATAATGTGTCTCCGGAATAAATAAAATTCTATTTGCTATTTACTGAGGGCAGGCATTTTCCTAGGTACAAGAATGGGGAAGAGCAATATAAACATGGTCCCTGCCTTCTGGGTACTTACAGTCTGTAGGAGGAGACTAACAATGAATAAGCAATTGTAAAACGTTGTGAGAAATGCTTGGATAGATCAAGTACAGCTAGGAGGGCACTGGGAGGAAGCATTTAGCCAAAACTGGGGAGGGAAAGGTGGTCAGTGATGGTTTTCTAGAGAAAGTGACATTTTGAGCAGTGCCTAAAATAAAGAAGTTATGAGGTTGGGATTAAAATGTTCTAGAAAGAGAGATTATGGAAAGGGAACTGCTGACAGTGAGGCTGGCAATCGAGAGGCTGAAAGACATTGAGTGCAACTGGGTGAAGGGGTGTGAGGAGAAAAGAGGTAGGGGCCCCGCCCTGGTAGCCGTCATGGCTAAATCCTGCTGCCTGTTAGACTGCCTGGATACCACATAGGCACGTCCTTTGGTTATCAACCACCAAATCATGCTGTTTCATGAGAACTTATTTTGGTTCCAGTTTCTCAGAAGAATACACATTGCTATTTTTGACCCTAGTTTATTGTCCAAATTCACACCTATGCTCAGGTCAACTCCTTGATGCCAACCCAGTTTGGGTTCTGATTTTCGCTTTCGCATCCCATCAAGAAACTTCAATCCTCCTTTGGCATGACCATTTCTCCATCTCTGTTTTTAATATTATATCTTCCACCTGTCCCTTCTGGCTACCAAGTCCACCCTCTGGATTAGACCCCTCTACTGGGCACAACTAGATCCTAGAAGGGGTGATCAGTGAGGCCTGAATCAGGCAGGAAGGATACAATTTACAAATCGAAAAAGGCTGTCAGCATTGATACCTTGGCCATTCAAAGGGAACACCTGACTGCTTTATTTTTCACCTGCAGGAATCACCAAAGAAAGACACTGGCAGAGAGTGGTCCAACATCAAAATCTACACAGAAGAAAATCAGGGCTGATTTGAATGTGCAAATTGTCAGAAAGCTGAACATCTGTCCTGAGCTTTGAACTTCGCCATGAAATAACATGGCTATCTAATACCAACATGCATAAGCCCCTCAAAATGAATTCCTCCACAAGAACAAGAAGAGAGGGCAACACCCTCTTCCAGAGCTGACAAGGTGACATGTGAAATCTTTCCCAGTATCCAGGCAGACCTCATCCCAGTGCCTATTAAACCTTCCCATGCTTCACTGACATCCAGAAAATGACCCCTGGCCTTCAATATGGAGAAAAAAAAAATGGTTCTTGAAGGGAAATAAATATGCTTTCTTTTTCATCACAGAAAAATACACTTTGCCAGAGTGATAAGGAAGGTTAGACCTTTGAGTGACATTGGCCTGAGGGGTCAGAATGACAGGGTTACTCATTCAGACTTGTGCAGAAAGTAATTTGGGCCCAACGGCGTTTTGCTCAGTAGACAGCAGCCATCAGCCCAAACTGCACGTTACCTGCTGCTGGATGACTTGCTGTGTCATCACAGATCACAGGGATGCAGACTCCAAAGATGCACCTGACACTTTTAATTGAGAAGGCTTTTTTAAACATAAACAGTACCCCCAGAACTTGCAGAGCCTCACAGTGATAGCTTAGAGCTAAATGCAAAATTGTGCTATTAACTTTCTGCACTTGCAACTTTGGATTTCCTTCAGGATAAATTTTCAATGCTGGGTCTGATTCAATCTTCAGTAAAAAGATTAGGAAGGGTAAAGGGTATACAGATTCTCACCAAACAGTACTAGATTTTACCTCCTTGTCCAAAAACCCTCGAAAATAAATGTAATATTAATTCAAATCTCCAATTGTCCTCATCTTCCTGGAAGTTTTTGTTGCTGTTTTTTGTTTGTTTGTTTTAATTGTAAGAACACTTTACTTGAGATCTATCTCCTTAACACAGTTTTGAGTGCACAATCCAGTATTATTAAGTATAGACACAATGTTGTACAGCAGATGTCTGGAAATTATTTATCTAATAGAACTAAAACTTAGATACATGTTAACATCCCTGAAATCCAACATTCTACACTCCATTTTGATGACTATATAGGAATTTCTACAACTCAACAGCAAAACCAAACAAAATCAGAACAGAACAAAACAAAAACACCTACAAATAACCCAATTAGAAAATAGGCAAGGGAATTAAACAGATATTTCTCCAGAGAAGACCTACAATGGGCAATGGGTATATGAAAGGTGCTCAACATTATTAAATGTCAGGGAAAGTTCTTCCCCCTTGGATTCTAAGCCATCTTGAGGCCAGAGGAGGAGAGGGAAGAGAAATGTACCAGTGTATCTCCAGATCCAGTGATGCCAATGGTGTGTGTGTGTGTGTATATATATGTGTGTGTAAGAGGGTAAAGTGAGAGAGACATTGGGAAATCGGGGTGAAGGGGAAGTGACAGTAGGTTCCCAGAGACTATATCTAATGCATGGGAAGAAAGTAAATGCTTTGTAGTCCACCAGTCAGGGTTTTCCCTGCCTCTGATGCTAATCAGTCTGGCCCACCCCAGCCACATCACTATTCTCTCTCAGTCTCAGTTTCTTCAACGGGGAAGCTGGAAGAATAGCACCTGCCCACTATAGTTGTTGTATGGATTCACAAATGAAGTAAAGGAGTCAAACAGCTCAAAGAATAACAAGGCCCAGGCAACAAGATGAAAGTTAAACTCAGCTGGGCGTAATATAATAGGGAAGTCAGGCACAGAGAAAAAGGAGAAAGTGCAGGCTCCATAGAAAGCATTTCAAATTCAATTTTTTTTATAAAAACCAGTCAATGCATATCCGGTAGTCAAATATGGTCAGGGCTCATCCATTTTTATTTCTTAAGACACACCTGGCCCTAAAATGAGGCAGCATTTGTTTTGTTATTTCCTCCAAGTGAAGCCCCAGGTTGGCCATCCCAGACTCCTCCAAAGACTCCGAATACCTGAATGGAAGCTTGCCCTAGAACCTGGCTGTTTTCTCTTTCTCACAAAGCTACAGGATGTCCCTCACCAGCCGGGAAGAACTGCTGATTCACAGTTGAAGCCTGACCGCGGCTGCACACAATCTCTATCTTCAAATGCCTCCATGGCTTCCTCCTCCAGCAAGCCTCTTCCACCTCCCTCCTCCCTCTACCCCTCCTGCCAGGTCGCATCCAAGGACTGAGAATCACTGGGCAAGGATGCCCAGACGAGAATGAACACCGAAGTCATCCACCAGCCAAATGTCTGCTTGGAGTCATGTCTGGTCCTCTCTCTTCCCCAGGCTTTTGCAGGTCAGAGCCTGGCCTCACCGTATGATTAGATGTTCAGAAGAGAAGTCTGCCCACTCCCAGCTGTTCAGGAGCCAGACTCGAGTCTCAGAACAGCAGCCTATTCACCCAAGGACAAGATCAGGAGCAAATTAGGTGGAATTTCATCTTTCTCTATGGGAAATCCTTCAATTCTAGAGGCTAGAAGTTGAAAACAGCCTTCGACTCATGTTGACCAGCCCTGCAGCCAAGGGCTCCCTTCCAACTTAGGTATAGCTTCTAATGTGAGGCCAAGAACAAAAAATAGAAAAGAAAGGAGGATGCTTTAGGTTTTTGCTCTTTAACATGGATCACACCACTATACCTCATCGTTTTAGAGATACCCAAGCATCTTGCCATTGATTTATTTTTTTCTTCTGGAAGCCCTGAGATCCAAGGGATGGGACAGGAGAATTTTCAAGTAGGTTTATGGTTCCACTCCCAATATTATTATTTTAGTCTTTTTATGCTATGGCAGAATAACACCAACTGGATAATTTATAAAGAAAAGAATCCAGGTGTGATAGTGCATGCTTATAATCCCAGCTACTTGGAAGACTGAGGCAGGAGGATCACAAGTTCAAGTCCAGCCTGGGTGACTTAATGTGAACCTATCCAAGTGAAATTTTTAAAAAGAGCTGGTGATATAGGTTGGTGATAAAGCACTTGCCTAGCATGTGCAAAGTCCTGGGTTCAATCCCCAATACTGGAGGAGAGAAAAGAGAAAAAGAGAGTGGAGGGAAGGAAAATCAGATACATTTTCCAAGTTCTGGAGGCTGGCAAGGTGCCAGTGGTTGGCAAGGGTCTTCATGCTGTGTCATCCTGTGACAGAAGGCAGGAACAAGGGTAGGTGAGGGAATAGGGTTGTAGCCCAGTGGTAGAACACTTGCCTAGCATTCATGAGACCCTGGATTCCAACCTCAGCACTGCTAAATAATAAATACATAAATAAAACAAGAAGGGACTGAACTTGTTTTTATGACAAATCTACTTTTTCAATAACTAACCAACTCCCATGATAATGACATTGATCTATCAAATCACCTCTTATTGGGCCCCACTCCCCACCTTTGTTGCAGTAGAGATTGTTTCCAACACACAAACTTTGGGAACACATTAAAACAATATTATTCTATCCCTAGCCCCCCAAGTTCATGACCTTCTAACAATACAAAATGTATTAATTCTATCCCAATAGTCCTCCAAATCTTCATTTCATCCAGTATTGACTGAAAAGTCCAAAGTCCAGAATCTTGTATAAATCAAATAAGGGTGAGACTCCAAGCATGACTCATTCTGAGACAAACTCCTCTCCAGCTTAGAGTTGTGAAATCAAAACAAGTCACATGCTTTCAAAGCACAGTGGTGGGCCAGGCACAGGATTGGCATTCTCATCCAAAAGGAAAAACAGGCAGGATGCGGGTAACTGGACTTAAGTCAGTCTAAAACCAAGCAGATAGAATAAGATAGAGTTTTAATCTAAAAAAACAATCTCCTTCAACTCCACATCCTGCCTCCTGGACACCCTGGGGTGGGGATTAGACTTCCAAAGCCCCAGGCAATCCTACTCCTGTGGCTTTGCTGGACTCAGACCACACTTCAGCTTTCTTGATTTGGAGCCTGGTGCCCACAGCTCTCCCAGGCATCTGGTGCATGCTGGTGGTCTTACAGTTCTGTGGTCCTGGGGACTGTCCTACTGTCACTACTCCACCAGGCATTGCCCCAGTGGGGGTTCTCTACTGTGGATATGCCCCTGCAGCAAGTTTCTTCAGGCTGTCTGGTAACATCCTTCAAAACATCGGTGGAGGTCCCTCACCCCCAGCCCTTGTATTCTTCACATCTACAGAGTGCGCAGCATAGGAACATCACCAATTCTCACTGCTAGTTCTTCAGAATGATGTCATGAGCCATACTCAGGCCTATTTTGAGTCACAGTTGTGGCAGCTGCACTGGAATTCAGGTAGCAAAGACCTGCTTTGGCTCTAGGTGTTAGCATGTAAAAGTTGCCATGGGTACATGCCCTGAAATCACTTTAGAGGTCTGGATTTGTGATGGGAGGAGTACCCCGAAGATCTTTGAAATGTCTGGCGTAATTTTTCCATTGTCTTGATGATCCCTTCTATGTGGAAGGTCTCTTGGCCACACCCCTGGCTTGTACTTCTGAGCATACCTTTTCACTTTTTCATGTAGCCAGTCTGCAAACTTTTCATGCCTTTCCATTCTACTTCTTTTTTTAATATAGATTCTATCTTGAAGTTATTTTTTTCTCTTACATCTTATTCCATGTGGTTAAAAGTACATGTAGTCCCTTATATATTTTTTAGAAATTTCTCCCACCAGGTACCCTAGCTATTAATGTAATACTACCTAATACCACCTACCTCTTAAATTCTGCCTTTATAAAGCCAATGGGCATGAGCACAACTCATCCAAGTTCTTTGCCACCTTGTAACAGGGATAGCTTTTACCCTACTTTCCAATATCTTGTACTTTATTTCCATCTGAGACCTCATCAAAAAGCCCTTTAAGATTCATATTCCTACAACATACTATTCACAACCACAAAAGTTACTTCTAAGAAGTTCCAGACATTCTCCACATGTCCTCTCTTCTTCTGAATACTCACAAAAATCACCCTTAACACTCCACTTACAACAATCTAGTTTTTTTCTAGACTGCACCTCCAAATTCTTGTAGCATCTACCCATTACCCATTTCCAATGATGCCTACACATTCCCAGTTATCTGTTAGAGCAATAGCCACACTTCTTGGTTCTAATCTTCTATTTTACTCCATTTTGTGTAGCTATAACATAATGACACAGACCGGGAAATGTATAAAGAAAATAAATTTATTTATCAAAGTATTATAGACTGGAAAGTCCAATATCAAGATGTTGGTATCTTGCCAGGGCCTTCAGAC